GTACTATAATACATTATAATATACTGTAAGATAGTATACAATATTGTAAAATACTATACTGTACTCTAGTTTATTATTCAACCCCAGTATGTACCCTCATATCACCCCAATGGGAACCTAAGAGGCTGCTCGCCCCGCCGGCTCCGAGCGCTGCCTCGGGGAGCTGCTGTCCTTCGGGGCCTGGGCCAAGGTCTGGGTCTTTGATCCGTTTTAAAGGGGTTTAGGGTTTAGNNGGTTTAGGGTTGGGGTTTAGGTTTAGGGTTTAGGGTTTAGGGTTTAGGGTTGAGGGCTTGGGGTTTAGGGTTTAGATTTCGGGTTTAGGGTCTAGATTCTATAGGGGTAGCTATTAGGGTCTAGGGTTTATACATGGGGTTCTATAGGGGCAAAAAAGGGAATTAGATGGGGGCTTTATTATAGGGACATTGCCACCATAATCTTTCATCCCCTCCCCTGCTGATACTAAGTTGGCTATATGGGGGTACGTATACGAGACTGGAAAGAAGATGGAAACTACTATTGTGTTGCTTCGGATTTCGGTTTTAGGGGTATTCCAGTACTGGAGACTCCAAAGGGAAAAGACAATGAGAAAAGTAATGGAAGCTATGGGGTTTAGGGTTTTGGGATTAAGGTAATGATGGAGCATCAAAAGGAACCCAAATGGAGCATGATGGAAAGGAGGGCGATATATGCGTCATATAGGGGTTAAACCATCGCCTAATATTTAACCCCCCCGCCCCACAGTGTTAAGTATTCCAACATGCTATAGCATACCCCAGACTCATGGTAGGGGGGGAGGGAAATTTTGGGGATTGAATTCGCTTGGCAGTTGAGGACTTTTCTATTTCCTCCATGTTTGAACAAGGGAACCTATTAAAAAATGAGGCCCTTCAACGTACCACCCAGCTAGGGTGGTGGCGAGGGTCTAGGTCTAGGATTTCAGACTGTGGCTGTTGCTGGAGGCCTTAAGGTCTGGTGTCAATGGTTTCGTAGTTCAATCAATATTCTTGGGAAGTCAAAAAGCAACTTAAGAAAATTAGTTTGTAGAATCCCGATTGGAAATTTTGAGGAACCCTATGCTAAGCCAGCTGCAGCAGGCAATTACCAATGCCACTGAGCCTAAAGGCCGCCTGATTCTCGGGATCTCTCAAAACTCAAGAGATTTACCATTCCTACTTTTGTTACAATTACCAAAAGCTATTTGCCTTATTACAACGATTATGATTTATTCTTGTTATTGCGATGATGTTTCCACGGCTACATCCTGATTAGGATAAAAACATGCAGTCATCCTTGTCATCATGAACCCTTTAGGTGGACCCCTCACCCTGTGATAGTGAGTGATTGTATTTGGGTCCTCTTATATTCCTATCAGACCACTATTACAGGGTGGGGGGTCCTTCGAATGAATCCTACTCAAGCGACTGAACCCTGGTGAAGGAGCCCATTGGCCCGCGCCTTGCGCAGCGGTGGAAGGCTAGCCATTGCATGGTTTTCAAAATCATGGGTCCATTTTTGAGCTCTTCTAATAAGGATCCTGCCATCTTGGGGTAAAAAGGGGTCCTTAACTTTGAGAAGGATTTGAGCGACCGCCTTCAAGATCAGGCGGAGATGTTATTTCATAGTCATATAAGGGTCCCAAAGATGTGGAGCATTCAGGCGAGGGATCTGGGAAAACAGATGGAAACCGATCTGTATGAAAACCGCCGTGGTCTGAAACACCGTAAAATCTTCCACCCTTCCAATCCAAGAAAGGTGATACCCTTGAATTATACTTGGTAGCTGTTTGTAAGTAAGTAAGGCAGCTGCTCATAAGGGGTGCTTCAGCATTGTGGGGGACTGCTTTGGGAGTTTGATTTGAAAACAGGATCTCACCAGTTTGGGACATGTAACCAGCCCATGTGAGGCGTAGTCGTTTGACGATTACGCATCTCCCTCACCTATGGCAGTAACCTGTTAGTATATGCTTCCACAGATTGCAGTCTGCCTTGTTGTTTTTCTTGCTTAGATGCTGCCTCTAAACAAGCATGCAAATCCTTGGTCATGCCAGCAGGAAGCTGTGTAGTGCTTTAAGTAATGGTGCTGCCTTGGCAAAACTTCAGACGCTCCTGAGCTGCTGCGAATCTGGAAACTGAATGTATGAGACTTCGCTGGAAGTCTGTGTCCACGCAAAAGAGCAGGAGCTCGGCAGCCGTGCGCCGCCCGTCACGTTGCTCTACGGCCCCTAGTTCACGAACATGAGGTTCTTGTTATTACTATTACTGTTATTTTTGGGATTATTATTGCTATTATTGTTATTATTGTTGTTATTATGGTTATTATCACTATTATTAGAGCAGCCTGTGCAGTGGGCAAATCTGGGGCTTGTTCTGCGCTCAGGCGAGTCGGACTGGATGGATCCCGGTGCAGGCACAGCTTTGGATGTTGCGCGTGATCTGGTAGTTTCCCTTCCAATCTGACCCCAATATAGACCCCAAAATGCAGTGGACTATTTTCCTTACTATGGAGATCCCGAAAAAAGGTACCCCTGATTCAGGGAAACCCCCATATCCTGAAATGTCTTGTGCTTTGCTGTTAGAGATGAGGTTCGTTTCTTGGATCGACATTTCCCAGGCGCCATATCAAGGTTGCTGTAATCGGTAAGTGCTGAATTATTTTTCGCCATCATTGGTGATATGATTGCTTGTAGTGGCCCTGTAATGAATATTCCTCTTGCCTGTATTGCTTGTGCAGCGCTACAGTCTTTGAATATTGTATTGCCCATGTACGTCTACGATAGCCCCTTTAATCCCCTGGGAAAACCTAAGGCATCCAGCTAGCAGCGGAGCTTCACAGATCACGGCGTGCAGCACCTGAAGTGTGGCTCGGCTTTTCCGCGATGGTCGAATCTACGGTGGTTGTAGCGGTAGGAAGACTTGTCACGGTGTTTGTGTTGGGAAGTTGCAGCAGTCATCATCATGGTGCCTGGATGCTTTGCTGAATCCACAGGATCATGGTCGAGAAAGCCGGCCACCAGCTTTTCCTCGATAACCCTGCTGCTGGTCTGCTCTCAAATCAGGTTTATTTTTCGGGCTATGCGCAAGGAGCATCTTAATTTTTTTGATAGCGCGTGGATTACAATCCCTCGTTTGGTCACATTTTGGTGATGCTATGTTGAGGAGCTATTTGCAGCCACGATTCCCCGAGCCTCCATGCCATTCCAAGCCCAAACTGTAATATGATCCATTTCCAAAAGCACCAGAGCATATGATTGCCAGAACATCCATGCGGAAAAATGTCTGAGAGCACACGATTCCCAGAGCATCCACATCAACATCATAATAACGTCCATGTCCGAGAGCATATTACTGTATTCCCTGAGCATCCACCAGAGCATCCATGCACAGAACATCATACTGCCATTTCCGGGAGCACGCTATCCCCCGTGCATCTATGCCCAAATCATACTAACGTCCATTTCTGGGAGCATACGATTCCCAGAGCATGCATGCACGGACCATAATGTCGCCATTTCTAAGAGCATACGATTCCCAGAGCATCCATGCACAGACCAGAATAATGCTATTCCCGAGAGCATATGATTCCCAGAGCATCCACGCCCAGACCATAATGGTTCCATGTTCAGGAGCATGCCTTTCCCAAAGCATCCATGCCCAAATCATAGTCACGGGCTTTAAGGATAGCATACAATTCCCATAGAACCCATGCCCAAACCACAATATCATCCATGTTCGAGAGCGTCAGAGGAAAACCAACACTTCCATGTCTACGACAAGAGCATAAAATTCTGAGTCAGCAGAAAATGGTCTCGAGAAGCCAGGGGTTCTGTAAATATGAACGAAATCGGTGCCCTTTGAGTTATTTCCGATTTGAAATGACTTTGCGTCCAAAATAGTGAGAGAACTACACGGTTAGAACATTCCGAACGAAAAAAATGGAGCGCGTTTTTTAGGCCTTCAACATCATGGAAATGTTGCTAAAATCCATTCTGGCACGAATCCTAGGACAATAAACATGCGGCGGAAAGTTTTTGTAGCACAGAGGGGAGAGGGACGACGCGGGCATTCAGGAATGCTTCGAGAATCATTTTGTTTTGGGGGGGAGGGTGGGGGGGTGGTCGATGCAGGGGATCGTCCAACACACGTACACGGCAATCAGAGACGGCGTACTTGCTCAGGAAGCCTTCAACGCAGCCTGTCACCGCGCAACCTGCTTGCATCTGGTCAGTTTACTCCGGCCTGAAAGGATCAGATATAATAGCAACAACAGTATAGTAATAATAGTAACAGAACAGAAAGAATAGTACTCATAAAAGCAATGATAACAGCACTGTGAGAATAGCAGTAGTAGTTATGACAGGATAGGAGTTTCCCAAAATTGGGGGTACCTTTTGGAGTCTCTATAAAGGGGACTATAGTATTTTGGTGTCTATATTGGGGTCCCCCTATTTTAGGAAACTACCAAATACCAACTACAGCTCAGGTTAAGGTGTGCTCACTTGATTTCCACGCAGCTTTCTTGCTGTTTTCCTAGTGGATGCTGTCCTGGGACATGACGGCACATAGTCCTTCTAACTTTGATTCTCCATTCTTGGGGGTAATAATCCTTATATAGCCCCTATCTAATGATAGTAAAATTCCAATATGTACCTAATCTACATTTTCTTTTCCATTATCCCTGGTATTCCATGATGCCTGTAAAGCTGGAGGCTTTGGGATCTGGCCTGCCATCTGTCGCTGGATTCTATCGACAGATCTTTCAGATGGCAAAGCGATGAAAAAGATGAGTCTGACTGTTTTGGGGTTGGGCCTCCAGCTGACCTTAGCAGATGTAAAGGTATTGAACCCCGATCTGCGAGGATATTCTTCAGGTTGCCCTAAACCCTAAACCCTAAACCATATGCTTCAAGAGCTGACCATCATGCCATTAGAGCTGGTATTTCCGGTTCTGCGCTTTGCTGACCAGAATCATAATTCCATATGGTTACCAGTCGAAGTACCGGTGATCATCAGTCGGTTTCTGCTCGGTTTTATGATTGCCAGACTGAATGATGGCTTGAGTCAAGAGACTTACTCGTATAACGATCATCTCTTCAAGTTGATCTGTTTGGTTTACAACTTTTTTGATGGTTCGTATCATGACCAATGAGCTATCTCATAGAGTGAGTACGATTTGTCCTGCAAGCTTTGGTGGAAGGCCTCCCAAGCTCTCCGTGCCCTGGGCGAGCGCCTTGAGACCCTGCAGTCGCAGGCGCACTGGAAGCCTCCTTAAGGAGAGCTTCTGGTTCTTAGAAGGGAACGAAGGAATGGAAAACAAGGCTTTTAGTGTATTGTTGGAGATTAGACAGGGGCGACTAGAAGGATGCATTCCTCCATTCCCTACTAGGAACCAGCAAGTAGTAAGACAAGGGAACTCATCGACGTCATGGACGGTTGGATAGACATGGAAGTTGTAACGAGCAGCAGCAGAACAAGTGATAAAGAAGGGCTGAAGGAGCCACATGCTTGTCATAAACAGTCGTAGTATTAGAAGGAGGCGTAGACACTTGCCGACGTCCAGATGCAGCTTTTTCCACTGGTGACTGGCTACTTTCAAGTTGTGCCTTCGGAAGTTCCAGCTCTTTGTGATGCTAGGCAGATGCTTCTTGCTGCCATTCAATACAAAAGCCTGAATGGTTGGTGTCATCACCATGAGACGAACCAAAGCCTTGCAAGAGCTTCAGACACAAATCCTAGACTTTGCAATGTAGCCCATTACCCAAAAAGCCAGCACACTTGCCAGGAATCCGCGCAGCAGGAGGCCAGCATCAGCTCCATCTCCTTCCAGCCCAGTGCAACCCTACACACGAGTATCGGCTGCCTCAACAATGCCGGAACTCCCCCGTCCTGTATCCAGTCCTGCGATGTCCTACGGATCTACATAGAGTCGCGTACCATGTAGAGCAGAACGAGCCTGTAATACAATGAAGCGTTCAACGAGGTATTTGAGACGTGCTACAAACATGCTCATGGGTGGCCTGAGACTGCAGGAGCTCCGAGTGGTTCGTGGAAGCAGTGCCAAGAGCGCTGAGGCATCAGCTCTTTTTTGCTGGCTTTTGTCCGTCTCGGTCAGCAGAGAGCAGAGAGAAGCGCCAGGAGCACCAGAAGCGCCTGAGCGGCGTCGCTGATGAACTCCAGTCACAGGCCACGGCATCAGATGTGGTCATCTTTCACAAAAGCGCCAAGGTCTGGAATAGACGAGCCGTAATAATACCCCTGCCCCTTCGTGGCCGTTGGCGCACGGCTTTCAGTAGACCCCGTTGTGAAGATTTAACAACACCTAGCCAGAAGCGACCGTCTCAGGCACTGGTTCTGAAGGCGCTGCAGCAGGCCGATTTTTCTGCCATACAGACGAAGTCTGGAAAGAATCCCTTTTCATTTTTGAAGTTGAATGTTGCACGTCCTTCCTCAAACATTTCTTGCGCTCCTACTGCAGCCGTGACTGCCTGTCTGCAAGGCGACGAAGGACATTGCAGATGTTGGCAGTTGTCCGCCTTAGTTCTTTGGTGAGGGAGCAATCCTAAAATCAATGGTATTGAGGCATTCTGATGCCAAGGCGTAACATGCACAACTTCACCATTCCAGCCCTTGCGCAGAACACCGCCCGGACCCCACCCTGCAGGACACGGCTGCGCAGCTGCGGGAAGATCTCCAAGCACAGGAGCGTCCATTGGAATGGTTCAAGTTCTAGCTGAGGCAGCAGATAATCATTATCTGTCAACGTGTCCTTAAGAAATTGCCATTGACTAGTGCAGGCGAAGGCTTTGCTTCTCACATCTGCTAGCCCCACCCATGTCGTCCAGGTGTGCCACACATCCCAGATAGAAAAGCGAGATTGTACTAGCAAAGTTGTCAGTTCAGGATGCTCGCAGCCAAATCGGCGAGCTTGGCAAGGCAAGACGCTGTGTGCAACCAGTCTCCCAAGTTCTTTTCGCACCGAAGTGCTGCCGCTGCATCCGCTTGGACGCTGCTCTGGCCTCCTACACACAAAAGAACAAACATTCTACCGTTACATTGGCACTACTATACTGCTATTGCCCTCATGTCTATCATCATTGCCCCTTGATCTTTGCAATCCCAAGCCCCTGGACTGCCTGATCCTCAGCCAAGCCTGGCAGAGGAGACGGCCCGGCTCATTGCTGACCTGGGGAGGGCGGTAGAGTCCCAGGGTCGCCAGGCAACTGGGCCGGGTTGAGGGCTTTTTTAGTTTGAGCTTTGAGGTTAACTTAAACCTTCCACAAGGAGGGTTTTTCTCGAAGGGTTTAGGAACTCTGTATTTTCTCGAATAATTGCATCAGTCTGCATGAGAATCAACGAGCAGTGTCAGAACGAGCTGTACAAGCAAGCTGCAAGGATCCAGGCTTGGGCTAA